TAGAGCAAACATCATCCTAATGGGGAATCTCAGAAGAATTCTTTTTAAATTCAGGTATGGAACAATGATACTCATTTTCACCACTCTTTCTCAAATACTGTGTTGGAGATCCTAGTCTGTGCAGTAAGAAAATTTAAAATGGTAGCATAATGATTGGGAATGGCAGAATCAATGTCATTGTTTGCAAACAGTATAAACTTACAATATATGCTTTTGCAGACAACATGAAAAACTCAGGAGTCTATAAGTCAGTAATTAGAAATAATAGAGGATTTTTTTTAGCAAGGTTGGCTGGATACATGTTGAATATACAAAATTAGTTGCATGTGCTAACAACAAGAACGTGTAATTAAAAGGAAGACACTGTTAATATTAGAGATTATCAAGTATCTAGAGTTAGATTTGCCACAAATATGCAGTATCTCTATAGGACAAATTAAGTTTTTCAGAACAACATTAAGGAAGACCTGAATAAATGAAGGAGTAGACTATTCGTCGATATAATTCTCTCTAGTTTCATCTGTAGATTCAATTCAATTCAAATCAAAATCCCAAAGAGGTTTTTCAAGGAAAATGGTAAGCTGATTTTTAAACTTACATGAAGGACCATAGGGCCAAGAATAATCATGACACTTCTGAAGAAGAACAGGGAGGATAGACTTGCCCTACCAAATACAAGGACTTATTAGGACGCAATAATAATACAGTGTGGTACAGTTTAAGGATGGATAAGTTGACCAATAGAATAGAGAGACTAGAAACAGTTCCACACAGGAATGGAACTTAGTTATGACCAAGTAGTATGTCAGCTGAAAGGAGAAAGGAGGGATTATTTAATAATTGGAGCTGGATAAAGTAGTTATCTATTTTAACATGGAAAAAGATGAAATTAGATCACTACTTCACGTGCTATTAAAATACTTTTCTGCATGGATTAAGGACTTAAAATTTGTCAATAGCAAAAGTTTAAAACTTTTAGGGAGAAAATATAGGTGAATATCTTTTGGACTTTTGAGTAGGGCAAGATTGTTTAAAGAAAACACAAAAGAAGTGTTATCCATAAAGGAAAAGGCCAGGACTTCCCTGGTGGTGCAGTGGTTAAGAATCTGCCTGCCAGTGCAGGGACACGGGTTTAAGCCGTGGTCCGGGAAGATCCCACATGCCACGGAGCAGCTAAGCCCGTGCACCACAACTACTCAGCCTGCACTTCATAGCCCGCGTGCCACAACTAGTGAAGCCCGTGCGCTTAGATCCCGTGCTCCACAACGAGAAGCCACCGCAATGAGAAGCCTGCGCACCACAATGAAGAGTAGCCCCTGCTCACCACAACTAGAGAAAGCCTGTGCACAGCAACGAAGACCCAACACAGCCAATAAATAAACAAACAATATATAAATAAATTTATTTAAAAAAAATAAAGGAAAAGGCCAATAAATTTGGCTACATTAAGAATTTTGACCCTTATACCATATACAGAATCAACTCAAAATGGATTAAAGAGTTGAATATAAGACCCACAGTTTTAAAAAATCCTAGAAGAAAACAGGGGAATAGCCTCATAGCATTTATCTTGGCACTGATTTCTTGGATGTGACACCAAAAGCACAGCAATAAAAACAAAAGACAGGTGGGACTGTATCAAACTGAAAAGCTTCTATACACCAAAGGAAGTAAATAATAGAGTGAAAAGAGTCTGTGGGATGGGAGAAAAATATATACAAACAATATATCAAATAAGGGATTAGTATCTTAAATATATAAGGAGCACCTACAACACAACAACAAAGAAACAAATAATCTGATTTAAAAATGGATAAAAGACCTTAATAGACATTTCCCCAAAGAAGATGTACAAATGGCCAACAGGAATATGAAAAGACACTTGAGCATCACTAATCATCAAGCAAATGAAATCAAAATCAAAGGGTTATCACTTCACTTGTTATGATGGCCATTATTAAAAAACAAAACAAAATAACAAGTGCTAGTGAGGATGCGGAGAAATCAGAACATTGTACATTGTTGGTAAGAGTGTAAAATGGTGTACTATGGAAAACAGTGTGGAGATTCCTCAAAAAGCTTAAAACAGAACAGCTATATGATCTAGCAATCCCTCTTTTGGATATTTATCCAAAAGAATTGAAATCAGGATCTCAAAGAGATATTTGTATTCCCACGCTCGTTGTAGCAATATGCATAATTCAAGAAATGGAAACAATGTAAATGGATGAATGGATAATGAGAAGGTGGTACATACATACAATAGAGTATTATATACTTCTTATAAAAGAAGGAAATCCTGTCATATGCTACAACATGGATGAACATTGAGGGCATTATGCTGGACGAAATAAGCCAGTCACAGAAGGAGCAATACTGCATGATTCTAATCATAAGTGGTATCTAAAGTAGTCAGACTCTTAGCAGAAGAACATAGAATGGTGGTTGCCAGGGGCTGAAAAGAAGGGGGAAAAAAGGAGTTACTATTTAATGTGTATTGAGTCTCAGTCATGCAAAATGAAAAAGTTCTAGAGATCTGTAAAACAATGTGCATATAGTTAACAGTGCTGTACTACTGTACGCTTAAAATTTGTTAAGAAGGTAGACTTCATGTTGTGTTTTTTTTTTTAACCACAAAAAATAATTACGAACTTTATCAAAAGATACGTTAAAGAAAGTGGAAAAGTAAATCATAGACTCTGAGAAGAGACAGTTCACACAGCCTGCAAATAATTTGTACTAAGAATAAAAAATTTCTCATACCAATAAAAAGAAGTAAATCCCCCAGGAGAAAAATGGACAAAAGATATGAACGGACATAGTACAGAAGAGGCAATACATACTGGTAATAATATGAAGAGATGTTCAGCATTGTTAATGATCAGGGAACATAAAACTATAATAAGATAGCATTTAACACACATATGATAGAAAAAATGTAAAGTTCTGATAATACTAAGTATATACTGATTTACTATTTTCTGACTTGGATATTGCTGTAATCCTATTACTAAAGCATCTCCATTCATCGCTTGATTGAGTAGATTTTGTCATCAGGTAGCTTTCTTCCCCCAACAGGGGCTCATTGATTATTCATGTTAAGAATGTTTGCCATTTATATTTGAAGTCCACCTTGGCCAGGTATAGCAAATCATTAATATTAACTTAAGTAGAGTACAGAATGCAGAAAAAGTATAGAAAAGAGGAATTTTGTATAGTTGTATAGGAATTTTGTATAGTTGAGCAAGGAAGCTATTCTTGTAGAACATTTGTTTATGACTCACAGAGTTAAAGGAGATATTAATATTAAAGTCATCTTTCTCACTAGTCCGTGTGCTCCCTGAAAAAGGGATGGTACCTGCCACATAGAAGAGTGGATACAAAGAAAAAAGATAAGTAGGTTGATTGGACTGGAGGGAATTTATTTATTTAATATTTATTTATTTTTTGGCTGCATCGGGTCCTAGTTGTGGCATGCGGGATCTTCCGCTGTGGCGCGCGGGCTTCTCTCTAGTTGTGGTGCGTGGGCTGTGTAGTTGCAGTGCGCGGGCTCAGTAGCTGTGGGATCTTAATCCCCCAGCCAGGGATCGCACCGGCAAGATGGATTCTTAACCACTGGACCACCAGGGAAGTCCCCCTGGACTGGAGGGAATTTAAAGCACTGGAGAATACATTTTGAGTTCTAGACATTCCACTAAGGTTATATATATAACTTGCCACTTTTTCTTCATATTTACTAAATCTTTGGGTGTGTTATCCATTTGACCCACAATATTTTGAAAAGGAGACTAATTTTTCAGATCTCATAAGTAGATTCATGTTATGATCTTCAGAGATTGTTGATATGACATTTTTCTGAGATATATATATGTTAAGAAATAAAAGTTCAATAACCTTAATTTTTGGTTCTAAAATGTTACATCTAATTTTTGGACTTTTCCCCTTACATCCTAAATAATTGCTAGAAATATGTCAATTTTTCTGGCCTTAATTTAAGGTGAGAATATTCAGGTTGCCAACTTTGCTAGGATGGTGCCAAAATAAAGCACTGTAGGTCTTTTTACCTTTCTGGAGGAGGCATATACCTGTATTGTAGAATATGTGTGTTATTTTTCCACTTAAAAGACCTGTGTTCAAATAAATGTTAGAAGTAGGTGCTTAGATTTGAAGGTTCTACATACATTTCAGGAATTAAAAAAAAATTTATTGTGCTAATTTTCCCATATACAGAAAAATTCAGAAGGGTGAAATACTTATCTAGGTTTAACAGATTATATTTTTTCTGAACTATTATAAACTACAGCTATCATAACATTTCAGCCCTTAATACGTCAGTATGAACCTCTTTAAAAAAAAGACTTTCTTCGTAACCATAATAACATCTCACTAACAAAATCAACAGTAATTTAAAAATATTATCTGATATCCAGCCCACATTCAGATTTCTTTAGTTACTTTCAGACTGGCTTTTTAAAGTTCGTTTTTTCAAACCAGGATGCATTTGGTTGGATTCCTTTATTCTAGAACGGTTATACCTCCCCTGCCACCTTTTTTCCCACCCGACTTTCACCTGTTGAAGAAACTAAGACAGTAGTCCTGTAGACCAGAGTATTACACCTTCTCCTATATTTTGTGTCAAGTTTTACCATGTTACTTTAGTCTCTGAATTTCCTGTAAGTGTCACAAAATCTGGTTGTTCAACTTCTCTTGATACTAAGATGGGTCCGTATGTTCAGGTTTAGAATTGTTTTTAAAGCAGAGTATATTTACTGGGAAAATATGAAGATATTTTTGTGAAAATTCTTTCATAACTCTAATGATAACATTTGGGGAGTGCTCTTCATATTCCTCAAAGCACTTAGTAGAAATATTTTAAAAATAATAGTTAATAAATATTTGCTGATTTGTGTTTTAAAGTTTTTATATACTCCTTTCCTTTAGGCTTGTTGTCCCATTCCTGTCTGAAAAGATAAGACAGTTACTTTCTTTTTTCACTACAGATTTTCAGCTACTGATGTTACAAACAAAATATTGGAACATAGAGTTGAGGAAAAGACTTAAACCAGGTAGGTAAATAATAAAAGTCTAAAGAAACAATACAGGGCTTCCCTGGTGGCACAGTGGTTAAGAGTCCGCCTGCCAGTGCAGGGGACACGGGTTCGAGCCCTGGTCTGGGAAGATCACACATGCCACAGAGCAACTAAGCCCATGTGCCACACTACTGAGCCTGCACTCTAGAGCCCGCGAGCCACAACTACTGAGCCCATGTGCCACAACTACTGAAGCTCTCATGCCTAGGGTCCGTGCTCCATAACAAAGAGAAGCCACTGCATTGAGAAGCCTGTGCACTGCAACTAAGAGTAGCCCCCCGCTCGCCCCAACCAGATAAAGCCCGTGCACAGCAACGAAGACCCAACACAGCCAAAAATAAAATAAAATAAAGAAATTTTAAAAATAAATAAATAAACAATACAACTACCATTCATTTTTATAAAGGTCATTATTGGGATAATTGACAAAATTGGAAAATGAACTGTAGAGTACTGTCAACGTTGTTTCCTTAATTTGATAATTGTACCTTGATTATATAGGAATATTCTGAGGTATTTAGGATGAAAGGGGTGTGATGTATGGCAATCTACTTCCAAATGGTTTAGAAAAAATAAATGATATGTAATATGAGAGGGCATTTGGTGAATTTATGGGCTAATAGGAACTCATTTATTTTCAATATGGATGTATAAGTTGGTCCAATCTTTCTGGGAAGCATTTTGGCAATTTGTCTCAAGTTTTTAGCTTAGCCCAGCAATCTTACTTTTTTTCCTATAGTAACTGTAGGAACACTACAGTAAGATGTATGTATAAGGATATTTATATGAGAGTTTATGAAATTAATGAATTAATGATAAATTGGCAGTAGCCTAAAAAGAATATGAGGGTGACTAAATAAATATAATTAAAAACCATGTAAGCATTAAAAATGATAATGTAAATCTATTTATTGGCATATTTGTAATACATTTTTAAGTGTTAAAGCTGGCTACTAAACAATATGAATAGTAGTAATCTATTTTGTCTTTCAAAAAAGGTGCATGTACACAGATACAGAAATACATATACACAGATAATATGAATGTACGTAATTGATTAGTTAGATGTAATCTTTGTGTGTGTATACATATACATATATGTATTTTTATGCACATAGACATTTGGAAAGATGATACTGTATGTTGCCAGTGGTTACTTTTTCATTTGTTTTATTTTAGTTTTTTGGCTGCACTGTGCAGCTTGTGGGATCTTAGTTCCTGGACCAGGGATCGAACCTGGGCCCTCAGCAGTGGAAGCATGGAGTCTGAACCACTGGCCTGCCAGGGAATTCCGTTTTTTTAAAAAAATTTGTTTTATTTTTTTGGCCATGAGTTGTTATTTTTTATTTTTATAATTAATTTATTTATTTTTGGCTGCGTTGGGTCTTCATTGCTGCTCGTGGGCTTTCACTAGTTGCGGTGAGCGGGAGCTACTCTTCATTGCAGTGCGTGGGATTCTCATTGCAGTGGCTTCTCTTGTTGCGGAGCACAGGCTCTAGGCACGCGGGCTTCAGTAGTTGTGGCATGTGGGCTCTAGAGCGCAGGCTCAGTAGTTGTGGTGCACGGGCTTAGTTGCTCCGTGGCATGTGGGATCTTCCCAGACCAGGGATCGAATCGGTGTCCCTTCCATTGGCAGGCGGATTCTTAACCACTGTGCCACTAGGGAAGCCCCGGGTGGTTATTTTTTAAAAATAAGTTTATAAGTGATTTTTGTATTCTTTTGTGTTAACTGAGTTTTTCAAAAGAGTATATATGTTGCTTTTCTCATTAAAGTTTTTTAAGATAACACTTCTTACGAAGGTTATGTTTTTGATTTTATTTTGTACCTTTGCAACAGTGTTTGATATGCAGTAAAAATAGTGCTATATTTACTGATAATTCTGTACTAGGTTCGAGTACCTGAGTAGTTCTTTTGAGGCTAAATTCAGATTTTGAGCCTTGTTGGTCAGCTGCTTTCATTCTTTTACATGGCCAGAGTCCATTTTCTTAATGATCTATTAATTGTCTTTCAAATGTGATGCTGCTCACATAGCTTAGCTGAAGGACATTATTTTTGGAAAATAGAGAACATGTTCTATTAATGATGATTGTTTAGTGCCTTGGGGTATAGAACTTACATGTTTACTTCTGATAGTGGTCAACAACATGTGCTTTGTTTTTTTAAATAAATTTACTTATTTATTTTTGGCTGCATTGGGTCTTCGTTGCTGTGCGCGGGCTTTCTCTAGTTGTGGCAAGCGGGAGCTACTCTTCGTTGTGGTGCGTGGGCTTCTCATTGCGGTGGCTTCTCTTGTTGCAGAGCACGGGCTCTAGGTGTGCAGGCTTCAGTAGTTGTGGCACATGGGGTCATTAGTTGTGGCTCACGGGCTCTAGAGCACAGGCTTAGTAGTTGTGGCGCACAGGCTTAGTTGCTCTGCAGCATGTGGGATCTTCCTGGACCAGGGCTCGAACCCATGTCCCCTGCATTGGCAGGTGGTTTCTTTTTTTTTTTTTTTGCGGTATGTGGGCCTCTCACTGTTGTGGCCTCTCCCATTGTGGAGCACAGGCTCCGGACGAGCAGGCTCAACGGCCATGGCTCACGGGCCCAGCCGCTCCACGGCATGTGGGATCTTCCCAGACCGGGGCACGAACCCGTATCCCCTGCATCGGCAGGCGGACTCTCAACCACTGCGCCACCAGGGAAGCCCGGCAGGTGGATTCTTAACCACTGTGCCACCAGGGAAGTCCTACAACATGTGCTTTGATAGTAATACTGGTTATTGTTTTTATAGTTTACTTAACTTTTAGCTGTTGATTTTAAGGGCATTTTCTATTACACTTTTATTTTACATCTTGCTTTTCTTTAACAGATTTTTCTTCTATTAGTTAAAAATATGGATCCTGAAGCAGAGGGACCACCAATTATCAAAGTGACTCCTCTTCAACAAATGCTTGCCTCTTGTACTGGAGCCATAATGACATCACTGATGGGTAAAATAATATGTAGATTATGTAACTGAATGAATCATTGATTCCATTTGAGTTTTACTGTCTGTGAAATAATGATAATATTATCATTCATGCTTCATCATGATAACATGAAAAGAACCCTGGACAGAGAATCAAGAGACTAGAATTTTAGTCCTTGCTTTGCCATTCTCAGGATGAGTGCACGTTGGGATAGTCCTTATTCTCTTTGAAATTAATTTTTCATCTCTAAACTTAGGGGCTTAGATCAGGAGTTCTTTGAGGTCACTATCAATATTAAACTTTTATGACTCTATTATCCTTTTTTTAATAGAAGATGGAATAAAATATTAGCATAATGAAAAATACAGAAATTGGACAACTTATAGTAGCAACAAATTCAAATTATATTTTACTTTGCTTTAGTAACAGTGAATTGCTTAAATTCCTCTGGACCACATTTTTCTTTTTTAATGAATTTCTTGTAGACACAGCCAAATGACATAGTTAGGTGACAGTTTAGCATTTTAATGACTTTAACTTGGCTAGTTTATTTAAATAAGATAGCAGATGATTAGAAAAAATGTAAACTTATTGCTTTAGAATGTAGTGTCTTTAGGTCAGAGTGCTAGGGTTGTAAAGGCTTTAGAGATCTTCTAATGTGACTTCCTCATTCTCAGACGAGGAAATACAGCCTGCAAATTAAAACCATTCTCCTTTGCTGCACTGTTTCCAAATGGAGTTACACAATGTGGTAGTAAGGATGATTTATGACTAGCTTACTCAAATTTGCATTATCTATAGTTTTTGTTTGATATAGGTGAATTTAACAGAATAGGAAGACTTATATTGTTTGATTATTGATTACTTGTAATACAGAATTATTCTCAAATATTTAAATGGACTTTTGGAACTTTCATTCTTTACCTTAGATAACATATTTTCTTACAAATACTAGTATTTTAGTTTTAATGCTAATGGAATTATAGTTGTAGAAATATTATAAATGAGAGTTGAGTACTTGTGAGAGAAGTAATTACATTTTCTCATTGGTACTCTTTAAACAAAATTCAAGGGCAAAAGATTAGAATATTAACACTGAAAACCACTTTAAGATAAATAATCTTGCCCATTATGTAGTCATGAGGAAAGGTATCATTCGGTGTATTTTGTGTTCTTTGGACAAATGTCTATACAATTTATAGGTATCACTTGTTAATTGAGATTTATGTATCTTCATAGTGACACCCTTTGATGTTGTTAAAATTCGACTCCAAGCCCAAAACAACCCATTCCCCAAAGGTATGTGTTCTGCTTATACTGAAAACATTGTTAGATTTTTAAATGTCGCTGTATTCATTTTTGTTTGAATAATATTTTTTGTTAGTTTTTAAAAATTGATGCCTTTATCCTCATGCAGAAACATTTTCTCATTTCTTAGTTGTACATGGTGAGGTCTAGGCAGAAAACAAATACAGTTGACCCTTGAACAATGATGGGGTTAGCACTGCCCACTGTCCACGTAGTTGTCTGCCTGTAATTTATAGCTGGCCCTCAGTGTCCACAGTTCCTCTGCTTTTGCAGTTCCTCATCCTTGGATTCAACCAGCTACAGATTGTCTAGTACTGTAGTATTTACTATTGAAAAAATGTGCGTAAGTAGACCTTCACAGTTCAAACCTGTGTTGTTCAAGGGTCAACTGCCTGTGTGTATGTGTATATAAAACATATAACACTTCCGTGAACCTACTAATTAAAGCAGAGGACAGTTTTATATTTGAGTATATGCCTCACAAGTAAGAACAGAATTAAACTTTTAAGGCATCTTAAAATCTAGCTTCCTACTTTAGTCCAGGAGCTGTGCTCATCCTACAGTATTCATCCAACAGTCATCTGATTGTTGCTTGAATAGTGATAGGAAAGTCATTATTTTACTAGGCAGCTTGGTTAATTGCTGGACATTATAGCTTATGTGGACTTTGAGAAGAAAGCGTAGTTATATGTTTTTATTAGATGGGCAAAAATAGCAATTCCTTGATCAATGTTTCGCGGTTTTATGAAGATAATGCTGTTTCAAACATGTTTACATAGCAGAAAACAGACTGTGAGAAAGCTAGCTTTCTCACAGACATAAATGCCACTCTCTTGAATGCATAGCAGTGAGACAGTGAACATCAGGCATTGTTTCAGGTGGATGAAAGGATAGATGGATTGTAGGAAGAGACTGAAAAGTAGTTTCCTGTACATTAAGGTTAGACTGATGTATTATGAAATTGACAGAATTATATATGGTCGAATAGAGAAGACAGTTTTGGTAGCAAGAATGAATCCAATAATGGGAAGGATCGTTATTAGAAAAAGTTGTAGTCAGTTAAGAGGGAGCTGACAAATGTCTAGCTTGAGCAGTATAAATACAGAGGAAGGGACAAAGCACAGCATTATTTACATTGGTTGAGAAAAACATTTTTTCATAGTCTTTTTTCAATTGATGTATAACATTGTATTAGTTTTAGGTGTACACTGTAATGATTTCATATATGTATATATTGAAAAATGATTACCACAATAAATTTAGTCAACTTTCATAACCTCACATAGTTAATAAATTTTTTTCCATGTAATGAGATCTTTTAAGATCTACTCTCTTAGCAACTTTCAGATACACATTAGATTTCATAATATATTTTTGTCTGAATTGCCCTTACATACCACAGGGTTTTCTTCTGGTCAAATAGAGAAGACGTACACCCATGCTGTCTTTTCAAAACAGGTTTTCTCCTCTGTCTTCCCTCTCCACTCCCTCAGATAACCGAAAAGAATTTATTTCCATGTGCATTTGCTGACTGCAGTCCTGAAAACATAATCCACTAATTTACTCAATTGCTTTTTACCACTGTGAGTTTAGAGCCCAGTGCTATGTCATTAAATCAAATTATTTATGTTTCATCCTAAAAGGTGAAGACAAAGTTATGTCTTTGTGTAGCCTGCTCATCGTACTTTCATTTTGTTCATATGTAAAAATAATACAGTTTTGTGAAATAATCACTGACTGTTAGAATCTTCTTTGTTAGGAAAATGTTTCTTATATAGTAATGGACTTATGGATCATCTATGTGTCTGTGAAGAGGAAGGCAACAAAGCATGGTATAAGAAGCCAGGACGTTTCCAGGGAACATTGGTAAAGAGATTATATTATTTATAATCACAGTATGTTTTCTAATATTTACTCTTATATATGAAATATTTAACGATTACAGGAGAGTGAAATGTCCATCAGGTAGTTAGCACACTTATCCACAGTTAAAAAGTAGACATTGAAGCAGGAAAGGGAAGGTACTTTTTTTGCTTTTAATTCTTTGCTAACTTTATTTTCATCTGTTGATGCTTAGGGAGTAGGTTTTTCTAAACTTGTTTATTTTGAGATACTTGTAGATCATATACAATTTTAAGAAAAATATACAGACAGACCCTATGTACCCTTTTTCCAGTTTCCCCCAGTGGTAACATGTGACAGGATGAGTACAATAGACCACAGGATATTGACATTGATACAGTGAAGATACAGACAATTCCATCACAGCAAGGATCCTTCCTATTTCCTTTTTATAGCTACATCCACTTCTTAACTCCTGGCAATCACTAATCTGTTTTCTATTTATATAATTTTGTCACTTTAAGAATGTTACATAAATGAAATAACATAGAACATTTTGGGTTTGGCACTTTTCCCTTAATTATCTGAAGATTTATTCAAGTTGTTTAATGTATCAATAGTTTGTTCCTTTTTATTACTCACTAGTATTACATGGTATGGATGTACCACAGTTTGTTTTCTGAGTGGTTTCCAGTTTTTGGCTCTGAATAAAACTGCTACATACATTCATTCACAGGTTTTTGTGTGAAAGTAAGTGTAAGAAAAAACTGCTCAGTTTTTTCTCTGAACACTCTCCTTAGAACACTTCTGAACTGATATGTGGGTTTTTTCCCCCATACCAGGCAACTCTCCAGGGTTCACAAACTGGGTATTCTACAATTTAACTCAATTCTGACACCATCTACCTGGAGTTAGTGTCAGGTCCCACAGGACTGCTCCCACTTCAGATGCCACTCGCAAGTCCAGGTTGTCACCTATGTTTCTGAATGACTGGCTGTAAATCAGAGGTTCCCAAGGTCTCCTCTTGGGTTCAGTAATTTGCTAGAAGAGCTCACAGAACTCAGGAAAACAGTTTACTTACTAGATTACTAGTTTATTATGAAAGGATACAACTCAGGAACAGCCAGACAGAAGAGATGCACAGGGCAAGACTTGGGGGAAGGGGTGTGGAGCTTCCATGTCCTCTCCAGGTGTGTCACTCTCCCAGCACCTCCCTGTGTTCACCAGCCTGAAAGCTTCCAAATGCCATTCTTTAGAGATTTTTATGGAGGCTTCATTACATAGAAACGATCGATCAAATCATGGACTCTTGGTGACTGACTAAACCTCCAGTTCTGCCTCCCTTCCCAGAACCCCTGAGGTTGGGGACTGGGGTAGGGTGGGGAGGGTGGGACTAAAAGTTCCAGCCTTCTAATCAAGTGGTTGGTTCCTCCTGGCAACCAGCCCCCATCCTTTGGTTCTCTAGGGCCTTTCCAAAAATCACCTCATTAACATAAACTTAGATGTGGTTGAAAGAGGCTTGTTGTGAATAACAAAAGACACTACTTTCACCTCTTATCCTCTGGAGCTGTTTCAGGACTGAGAACAAAAGACCAAAAATTATCAACAAAAGATACTTCCTTTGCTCTGTATTAATTAGGAAATTATAAGAGTTTTGGAGCTGTGTGCCAGGAACCATGGATTAAGGCCAAAATGTATATTTCTTATTTATTTATTTATTTATTTATTTTGCGCGGTACGTGGGCCTCTCACTGTTGTGGCCTCTCCCGTTGTGGAGCACAGGCTCCAGACGCGCAGGCTCAGTGGCCATGGCTCACGGGCCTAGCCGCTCCGCGGCATGTGGGATCCTCCTGGACCGGGGCACGAACCCGCGTCCCCTGCATCAGCAGGCAGACTCTCAACCACTGCGCCACTAGGGAAGCCCTATATTTCTTATTATTAATCATAATATCACTGTTAGTCTTCATTTCTCTGGGGTAAATGTCCATGAGTGCAGTTGTTGGGTCATATGGTAGTTGCATGTTTAAGGTTTAAGAAACTGCCAACCTGTTTACGAGACTGGTAGGACCATTTTACATTCCCAGTGGCAGTGTATGACTGATCTAATTTCTCCACAATCTCACTAGCATTTGGTGTTGTCACTATTTTTATTTTAGCAATTATGATAGGTGTGTAGTAGTATCTCATTGTGGTTTTAATTTACATTTCCCTTTTGGTTAGTGATGTTGAAAACCTATTCATATGCTTTTTAGCCATCAGTATATCCTCTTCAGTAAAATGGCTCTTCATGTCTTTTGCCCATTTTCTAATTTAACTGTTTGTATTTTTACTGTTAAGTTTTAAATGCTCCTTATACTATCTAGATATGAGTCCTTTGTTGAATGTGTGATTACTAAACATTCTTTCCCACTCTAACTTCCCTTCTTATACCCTTAAACAGGGTCTTTCATGGAGTATAAGTTATTAATTTTGATGAAGTCCAATTTGTCAGTTTTTTCTTTATAGATCATGCTTTTGGTGTCAAATCTAAGAACCCTTTATTTACCCTCAGATCTGAAGATTCTTCTCCTGTTTTTAAAGTCCTTGATCCATTTTGAGTCATTCTTATATAATGTATGGGTTTGAGGTTGAAGTTTGATCCTTTTTGTTTGTTCTAGCACGTGGTTGTCCAATTGCGTTTGTTGAAAAGGCTATCTTTCCTCCATTAAGATGCTTTTGCACATTGTCAGAAATCACTTGGGCATATCGTGTGGATCTATTTCTAGGTTGTTTATTCTGTAACATTTGTCTGTTACCTACATCAATACCACACGGTCTTAGTGTAGCTATAGAATAAGTCCTGAAATCAGGTAAACTGATTCCTCCCACTTTATTCTTATTTTTCTTTTTGAAAGTTGTTTTAGCTATTTCCAAAGTTTCTTTGTCTTTCCATATAAATTTTAGAATAATCTCGTATATACCTACAAAAAATCTTGATGAGATTTTTATAGGAATTATGTTAAACCTGTATGTCTTATTTGGAGAGAAATGACATCTTTACTGTGCTGAGTGCTCCAGTCTGTTTTTTCTTCTAGATATAATTGACATATAGCACTGTGTAAGTCTAAGGTGTACAGCATAATGATTTGACTTACATACATCATGAAATGATTTCCAGAATAATTACCATCCACCATCTCACAGATACAAAATTAAAGAAACAGAAAAAACATTTTTTGTGATGAGAACTCTTAGAATTTACTCTCTTAACAACTTCGGTGTATAACATACAGCCGTGTTCATTATCTTTATCATGTTGTACATCATTTATTAGTACTTATTTATGTTATAACTGGAAGTCTGTACCTTTTGGGCTTCATCCAATTCTCCCTTCCCCCCACCCCCAACTCTGGTAAACACAAATCTCATCTCTTTTTTACGAGTTTGTTTTTGAAGTATAATTAACCTACAATACTATGTTCCTGTTACACAACATAGTGATTTGATATATTTCTATGCATATCAAAATGATTACCATGATAATTCTAGTTACTGTACGTCACCATGTAAAAATATTACATAGTTATTGACTGTGTTCCTCACAAGATACATTTCATCCCCTTGAATCCTTTACTTTGTAACTAGAAGTTTATACCTCTTAATCTCCCTCACCTATTTCTTTTCTCTCTCTCTTCCCCCTCCCCTCTGGCAACCACCTGTTTGTTCTCTGTATCTGTAACTCTGTTTTGTTATGTTTGTTCATTTGTTTTTTTAGATTCCACATATAAGGAAAATGATACAGTGTTTGTCTTTCTCTAACTTATTTCAATTAGCATAATACCCTCTAGGTCCATCCATGTTGTCACACATGGCAATATTTCATTCTTTTCAATGGCTGAGTAATAGTCCATTATCTATCTATCGACTTACCAGTAGATAGGTAGGTTATCTGTATCTCACATTTTCTTTATCCATTCATCTATTTACGTTGCTTTCATATCTTGGTTATTGTAAATAATGCTTCAGTGAACATAGGGTGCATGTACCTTTTTGAATTAGTATTTTTGTTTTCTTTGTATACGTACCCACGAGTGGAATTGCTGGGTCATGTGGTACTTCTATTTAAAGTTTTTTGACGAAGCTTCACACTGTTTTCCATTGTGGCTGCACCAATTTACATTCCCACCAACAGTGCATAAGAGTTCCCTTTTCTCCACATCCTTGCCAACACTTGTTATTTGTTGTCTTTTGGATAATAGCCATTTTTACAGGTGTGAGGTGATATCTCATCGTGGTTTTGATTGGCATTTCCCTGATGATTAGTGATGGTGAGCATCTTTTCATGTGCCTGTTGGCCATCGGTATGTCTTCTTTGGAAAAATGTCTGTTTAGATTCTCTGCCAATTTTTTAATCAGGTTTCTTACTGTTTTTTTTGATGTTCAGTTCTATAAGTTCTTTGTATATTTTGGGTATTCACCACCTGTTGGATATATCATTTGCAAATATTTTCTCCTGTTCAGTGGGTAGCCTTTTCGTTTTGTTGATAGTTTTCTTCGCTGTGCAAAATCTTTTTAGTTTGATGTAGTCCCATTTGTTTATTTTTCCTTTTGTTTCCCTTGCCTGAGGAGACATATCCAAAAAATAATGCAAAGACCAATGTCAAAGAGCATACTGCCTATGTTTTCTTCTTCTTTTAAAAAAATTATTTATTTTATTTATTTTGGCTGCACCAGATCTTAGTTGAAGTACGCGGGATCTTCGTTGTGGCATGTGGGATCTTTAGTTGTAGTATGTGGACTTTTTTTGTTGTTGTTGTTGTTGGGGTACGTGGGCCTCTCACTGCTGTGGCCTCTCCTGTTGAGGAGCACAGGCTCTGGACATGTAGGCTCATTGGCCATGGCTCACGGGCCCAGCCGCTCCGCGGCATGTAGGATCTCCCTGGACCGGGGCATGAACCCGTGTCCCCTGCATCGGCAGGCGGACTCTCAGCCACTGTGCCACCAGGGAAGCCCAGCATGTGGACTCTTAGTTGTGGCATGTGGGC